GGGAGGCCAAAGCCAGAGCAGAGCTACTGCCTCATCCTACCACTGGTGGCGTGCGTTTGGACAGAGAGCCAGCCCCAGTCACAGCATGTAACGTTGTTCATCTGCAACATGCTCTAGATGCATTCATGAATGCATAGAATCAACATAGGGCAGAATAGTGATAGAAATGTAGCCGTGTTAGTCTGGTGTAGCTGACTATGCAGCACTTTAAAGACTAACAAGATGGTTTATTAGGTGATGAGCTTTCATGGGCCAGACCCACTTCCTCAACTTAATCAACATAGGGCAGAAGGCGTTCCAGCCCCACTGGGAAGCAGACACGAGAGGGTTAAGCCCCTGCTTTATTTTCCCACTCGGTACCCAGAGTTGGTGCTAGGGGAAAGCATTCTGTGAAACATTTCACAGTTTCCAAGCTGTCTCCATTTCTCAGGATTTAAAATGGTCCCATTTGCCTTTCTTTTTTTTTTTTTGCCATTTTATTTGTTACAGGGATTTTTTTTAAATTGAAATGACCTTTGAAATGTTTTGTTTGCTGAAAGCCCTGTTTCTGGTAAGAAAACATGAACATAAGAACGGCCACACTGGGTCAGACCAAAGGTCCATCCAACCCAGTGTCCTATTTGCCGACAGTGGTCAATACCAGATGCCCCAGAGGGTATGAACAGAATAGGGAATCATCAAGTGATCCCTCTCCTGTCATCCATTTCCAGCCCCTGACAAACAGGGCACATCTATACAGCAGGGCAAAAGTTGAATTAAGATACGTAACTTGAGCTACGTCAATTGTGTAGCTTCAGTTGAAACAGCTTAACTCAGCTTTTGGTGCTGTTTACACAGCAGGAAGTCAAAGGAAGAACACTCTTCCTTCAACTTCCCTTACTCCTCATGAAATGATGGTTACAGGAGCTGGAGTAAGAAATCTTCCAGCTCGACATTATTTCAGAATAATGGCTTGCAGTGTAGACATGCTCTTTGTTATTTTGGAATAACGCTGCTGTGTAGACATAGACACAGAGGATAGAACACCCTCCCTGCCCATCCTGGCTAATAACCATTGATAGACCTATTCACCATGAATTAATTAGCTCTTTTTCGATCCCTGTTAAAGTCCTGGCCTTCACAATATCCTCTGGCAAGGAGTTCCACGGGTTGACTGTGCATTGCATGAAGAAATACTTCCTTTTGTTTTAAACCTGCTACCTACTAATTAAACCTGCTACCTATTAACCTGCTACCTATTAACATGGTTTGGGATAAACTAAAACTTTGGATTGAAATACATCATATAATAATGTAAACCAATGTCTGACAGAGCTCAAGGTGAGCCCTAACTGGGGTGGGAGATTGGGGCAGATTGTTTCACATCTGCCCCTTCATGTGAAACTGGCCAGGATTGTAGAGAAAAGACTGAGCTAGGGACCATGATTCTGATTCGTTCTGGCTATTCCTATTTTCCAGCATGGAAAATGGTGTATAAAAATGGGTAATATCAACATTTTTTTGCAGAGAAAGACTCCGTTTTGAATAAAAGGCTATTTTTTCAACCCAAAATAGTCTGGCGGCAAAATGTTATTCTGGTAGTAATACATTTTCAAATGGCTTAGCATCCTCAACTGAGGACTGACTTTCTGACGTGGTTCTGTGCTGGGCATTAAGCTCTTTGGGAAATCTGGCCCTGATTCAGGAGTCTAAAGGGGAGTGGAACTCTTTTGAACATCTGACCCGATATGCTGTGTCAGAGGTCACAGAGGAATCAATGTAAAGCTTGGTTTTGACATCAGGGGCTTACTCCCATGTCTACAGACCACTAGCTTATGTTTCTCTCTGGCTCTGCAACACCCCATGTGCCAAGCCCAGTTGCTGATGCTCCCTCACATCTCTTATAAATGAGAGATGCCCTTTTCCCACTCTCTTTGCAATGGAAGAGGTTAGTGAGAACAAAACTGAATGCCCTACCAGAGAACTCACACTTCCAGCTGCATGGCAACGGATTTTCTGATTCTCAGGAAATTCCATGATTTTGAAAAATGTTTCACTCCAAACCAGACTGCAAAACAACAACAACAACAAAAGAGTTTTCCTGTGAAATGAAATTCTGACCAAATTTGTTCCAGGGGCGATCAAACTGTTTCATCATTGCAGATAAAACCCAAACAGTGCATTCCACGTGTGACCTTTGAAAATGTTTTCAGATGCCTATTTTATTACAAAAACAACCCCCATGCCTTTCATGTCAGAAAGTTGTTTCAAAAAGGAAAAAAAAGTCGATGCTTGGTTCCAAAAATGTCGAAACGGGACACTATCAAACCACTTTGCTTTGTTCTTTTTTTCAAAACGAAATGTTGTTGAAATCAACACATTTTTCTAAACATTTTAATCTGATGCAAATGGCATTTTTTTAAAATGTTGCTCATCAGTTCCACAGAGTCCCCATCTTCCCATGTGTCCCAGCCCTGCGAATACAGCCAGTGGGGCATTCGGCCTGGCTTTCTGTGTTATGGATCAGCTAGTGGCAGATATTTGTTCTTCTCCCCAGAGATTCTCTCTCTCTCGCTCTCTCTCCCCCCCTTCCTTTCGATAAAGGAGATTCAAGCATAATGGAGATGAATGCAGGAGGTGGTGAAATAGATTGGCTGCAGTGTTAATAAAGAGCCGGCTTGGAAAGGAAAGAATTTGGCTACAAGGAGAAATAGTTTGGTAGAGTAACCATTCTCACTTCATCTCTCTGGCCCTGAATGCCCACTGACAAAGCGTTTGCTGCCATGTAACGGCAGCTTTTATCAAGCTTGACAAACTCACTACACCTAACACAGCTCTGTCACAGTGTTTATCTGTACAGAGTGTCATGGGAAGTGTCAAATGAAAGCTGGTGACACACCAGTCATTAATATTATTGCATGGCATATGGCTGGATGGTGTATACACAGTCGGTACCTGTGTTAGAAATGTGTTCTTCAAATATACTTTGGAGGCTGGGTTGGTAAACACATTTGTCCTAGACAAAGGCATGTTGTTTTACCTGTCTGCCTTGGAAACTGTCCTGGATCAAGTCTTGGGAAACAGGCACAAAGGACACTTCGTTTGCATTTTAAGTCAACAGAAGAGTCAGTTTTCTGCCTGGCTCTCAACTTCCTGAAGC